TAGCACCCATGTGGCCAGAAGAAGATATTCTGGGATTGGAGTTATATACAGATGGTTGTGAATCTACATGAGGGTGCTGGGAATTGAACCTGGGTCCTTGGGGAGAGCAACCTGTGCTCTTAACCCCTGATCCATTTCTCCAGTCCTCATTTTCCTCATTTTCTTAATCTTCCCGTGCCATTTACCTCATACTTCCTGCTAAATTATTGAGCACAATTTTGTAAACCCCATTACAGTCTTTGCCTTCTACAGGAAGGTTTGGCATTCTAGTCACTCAGATTTTCCCACGTTTTAAAACAAAGTATGGAGTCATACTTTCCATGAACAAATAGGTTCATGATTATTTGATGTGCATGTACATAGGTTAGTATACATACATATATATATATATAATATATATATATTAATATTCTTATTCCAATATTAATACAATGGTCCTTAGGCATACGACATTTGAAAATGCCATTTTTTTCTAATAATGGAAAATAGAGCAACAGGGAAATTAAGAAAAAAAATGTATGGAAACTTACTTAGGACAAGCTTACAAATTAAAAAAATAAATAAATTAAAAACGTAAGCCAAGCAGAGATGGTTCGGTGGAAAAGCACCTGCAGCACATACACACCTGACGACTTGGGTTCACCCTCAGAATCAGAAGTGGAAAAAGGGAACCCACTCGTGAGAACTGTCTTCTCACCCCCGTGTCTGAACTGTGCCTGCACGTGCTGTACAAGCACAGGCACACAGGCGCGTGCACACAGCTAATCATAAGTACAATTTTAATGACTGAAAATGATTAATGAGATGGCTCAGCAGGTCAAGCAACCCCTGCAAACCTGGTGACCCAAGGTCCCTCCCCCCACCCAAGTAAAGAGAGGAGGAGAGACCTGAGTCCTCAAAGCTGACCTCTGGTCTCCTCATGTTCATTCCTGCATGCATGCCCTCCACACGCCATGCATGCACATGTGCTAATAATAATGCCACCACTACAATGAAATTAATAATAATCAGAATTCAATATCTTTTTAAAACCCACAACCCAACCTAATGAAATAAATAAAAACTGCAAATAAACATTCCAATTCTTGTATGAACAAGAATAATAATATGCTTATCAAATGTTTGATTGAGCAAAAGGTAAAAATCATTATGAAGGTTATATAAAATGACTTGAAAACACCATTGCTAAAATAGATAAAACAGAAAATACATGATTCTTGGAAAAACTAAATTTGTAAATAAACTATTTCTCCTGAACTGAATACTATTTTTTTATTTTACAAATCAATATCTTATTCATCAATTTTTATACACCCCATACATATAAGGATACAATAGAATAGGTAATCTTGCATCATTTTTATAAATACCTACTAGGTATCAACATTTGCAAAGTAAATTTTCAAGCTATAACTTCATAACATTTCCCTTCATGGTTCATTTCATAAACAAGAAAGGACGTCTTCGTGGTGGAGAAAAATCTGAAACTCTTAGTTTACGTAAGTCTAGTTCTTTCCTGGCAGATCCTTATCTTCTGACTTTGTGATGGCATAAAATTGATAACCCTTCCATGGAAGCACCAGTTTGATTTTGAAGTGTGACCTCTTTCTCAGCCGTGGACATGTAATAGGAAAGCACTCCCAGGGCTGGACCACAGCTCTCTACAGTGCTGTAGCACACACAGACTCCTTGCTATTAGGAGAACCTCCCTGTCTCTCTGATGGTGGAGGGGAATACACACAGTTGGCTATGGTAGGGGCTGCTTTTTCTCTCATTATTTTTTCTCAAAGAAGTTAGTCTTATTGCTTGTAAATCAATACTAAAAAATGTGTCTTTGGCTTTCTTCTTGCAGCTACTGTGTGAACAAGATGAGTGGCTGTGTCAACTGGGGCGGATGTAAACTCAGTGGACTTTGGTATGGCATGGGACAAATTGCATTCAAAGGCTTTGATTCTGCTCTTCAAAATACAAGACCCATTTCTTAAAGCCACTGTGAGGAATACACAAGATACATTTAATGTCAAAAATCATGTATTCTAGGAAAGAAGGCAGTGAATTTGGTTATTATTGGTGAGAGCCAGGCATGTATAATGTGCACAAGTGCAAGTGGGTACAACAGTGCTCCAAGCTGGTGTGGGACCATAAATTTTACATGAAAATTCTCTGCTCTCCAGAACATGTAGCTTCCCCTTTACTATGCCATCATGTTGCTTCTGAAAGAACCGAACTGTGAAAGAATCTTTCCTCTCTCTGTCTGTTTCTAGCTTGATAGTTTTAAAGGAAACAGTCATAGGACCACAAATACTGTGTACAGTCTCAGACGCTAGGCCCTGGTTAAGAAGAGGAGGAAGCTACTTGGTGGGAGCAATAGGGAACGACTGGTTGGACAAAGGAGACGTCACTTGGACCATGCAACATCACAATCAAGGTAAGAAACAAGCATTCACTGGCAAGATGGTGCATTCCCATAGTACTGGGAAGACTAGAGTAATAGAATTTCAAGTTCAAAGTCATCCATGACTATGAAACAAGCTTGAGTCCAGTGTGCACTACACCATAGCCTGCCTCAAAAAATCAATGAGGACTGGCAAGATAGCTCAGTGGATAAAGGTACCTGCTGCCAAACCTGACTGAATGACTATCAGGACCCGAAAGGTGGAAGCAGAAAACTGACTCCCGTATAGTGTCCTCTGAACCCCACCTCCAATAAACAAATCCGTATGTATTTTTAAATTAAAAATAAATGAAGAAAAGTGAGGAAAAAACATGCACTACATGCCATGAGTTAACACCAAAATATGTAAAAAAAAGAAAAATACTCATTTGAAAACCACGTTTATTTCCAATTTGCTTTTCTCATGACGTGTCTTGTGCACAGACCCTGACTAGAAATAGCTGCCTGTTCTCTACTTAGAAGACTTCATGATCCAAACCCCTGACCCATGACACCTGAGCATTCCCCTTTCAATTAGAAATAACAAGTATAGTGTTTTAGGGATCCAAATTTCTACAATAAATATGCCTATAAAATATTATAATATGAATGTATAAAAGCTAACAGTGTATTTTTATTATCATGTATCTACTGTGATTGAATATCAACATGTTACATTCATCACAGATACCTAGTGACATGGTTCCTAGCTTATACATTAGACTTTATAATATGAATCTTTTTAAAAAAATAATTTTTATTAATTTTATGCATTTTTAATTGTGACTAGCATAATTTTGAGTTATGGTTGGTAATTTCCAACATGCAGTTCATGAATACTGTTTCTCTAAATACTTTTAAGGAAAGAGGAGCCTGTGGTCTGCTTCTGTACAAAATGTGTTGGTGTAGGAAGAACCCCAAACTGTCCTGGGATTTACTCCTGTCATAAGGGAGGGGAGATACTTCTTATGCAACCATGCTAGGACTCAAGTTTATTATCACATGCAGGCTTCTACTAATGCTTTGTGCAGTTAATATAATTATCACAATTATTATTTCACTTTATAGTAAGACAGAATGGTATTCATACCTAAAGTCACAGAATTCATTTGGCAGAGAGAGAATTAAGAATCTCACACTCTGACAGTGTGCCCGAGACAGTTGGGTTTTTTGAGGGGTGAGGTATGTGTATGTATTCACTTGTATATACAAGTACATGAGGATGAATGTGCACATGTGTGGCCTTGGCTGTGGAAGCTAGAGGTCAATATCAGGAGTCTTTCACTGTGACCATCCACCTTGTCTTTTAAAATTATATCCCCCCCGTGTGTGTGTGTGTGTGTGTGTGTGTGTGTGTGTGTGTGTGTGTGTGT